ATTGTCATATGACATTAACCCGGATAAGCGATTAAGGAACCCCCCCCCCCTCTCCGGTGAAAAGATAACGCACCCGGCACCCGGAAGCGTTATCCTGGCACCAGGAGGGGGTACACCCTCCTGAAAGAATGAGGAAACGCATGCGGAGGAGTCAGAGAGCTTCAGTGGCCACGCGTCTTTCCAGTGCTCGACCCTCGCTGTTCGGTGCCGTAACCATGTACACTGATCCGCTCCTACTCTGGCTCGGGGATTTATTTTGGTCCTGCCGTGTGCTAAGATAACGCCGCGGTGCGGGGCGGGGGCGATACCCTGGGATGGACCACCTCCTACGACGGCCGAAAATTACCCTGGCGACGTACCCAACCCCTGCGCAAAAGCGGGGCGCAAATAGTTTAGGATACTTTATAAGGGGGCGATGACGGAGCGAGGGTTACATGTGTCTGCAGACGGAATTCGGGAGACTCGCAGGACACTGGCTACAGGAAAAGGGTTTGATAAAGCTGATGATTTACAATTCCTGAGCACTCCTAGCCACTTCGAAAACGGAGATCACAGCAGGCCTCGAAAGTGGCGACAGGTTCGCAGATCGCAGCCCCGCAGGGATGGCGAGGTCTCATTTGAATCTGCCCGTGGCCCTCACTGTGCTGGGCCCCCCAGCAGGCCTCGAAAATGGCGACAGTTTCGCAGATCGCAGCCCCCCAGGGATGGCGAGGTCTAATTTGAATCTGCCGTGGCCCTCACTGTGCTGGGCCCCCCAGCAGGCCTCGAAAATGGCGACAGTTTCGCAGATCGCAGCCCCCCAGGGATGGCGATGTCTAATTTGAATCCGCGGCGATGGCCCTCACTGTGCTGGGCCCCCCAGCAGGCCTCGAAAATGGCGACAGTTTCGCAGATCGCAGCCCCCCAGGGATGGCGAGGTCTAATTTGAATCCGCGCGTGGCCCTCACTGTGCTGGGCCCCCCAGCAGGCCTCGAAAATGGCGACAGTTTCGCAGATCGCAGCCCCCCAGGGATGGCGAGGTCTAATTTGAATCTGCCCGTGGCCCTCACTGTGCTGGGCCCCCCAGCAGGCCTCGAAAATGGCGACAGTTTCGCAGATCGCAGCCCCCCAGGGATGGCGAGGTCTAATTTGAATCTGCCCGTGGCCCTCACTGTGCTGGGCCCCCCAGCAGGCCTCGAAAATGGCGACAGTTTCGCAGATCGCAGCCCCCCAGGGATGGCGAGGTCTAATTTGAATCTGCCCGTGGCCCTCACTGTGCTGGGCCCCCCAGCAGGCCTCGAAAATGGCGACAGTTTCGCAGATCGCAGCCCCCCAGGGATGGCGAGGTCTAATTTGAATCTGCCCGTGGCCCTCGCTGTGCTGGGCCCCCCAGCGGGCCTCGAAAATGGCGACAGTTTCGCAGATCGCAGCCCCCCCAGGGATGGCGAGGTCTAATTTGAATCTGCCGCGGCTACCCTCTATGCAGGACCCCCCAGCAGGCCTCGAACGTGGCGACAGTTTCACAGATCGCAGCCCCCCAGGGATGGCGAGGTCTAATTTGAATCTGCCGCGGTTACCCTCTATGCAGGACCCCCCAGCAGGCCTCGAAAATGGCGACAGTTTCGCAGATCGCAGCCCCCCAGGGATGGCGAGGTCTAATTTGAATCTGCCGCGGTTACCCTCTATGCAGGACCCCCCAGCAGGCCTCGAAAATGGCGACAGTTTCACAGATCGCAGCCCCCCAGGGATGGCGAGGTCTAATTTGAATCTGCCGCGGTTACCCTCTATGCAGGACCCCCCAGCAGGCCTCGAAAGTGGCGACAGTTTCACAGATCGCAGCCCCCCGCAGGCAAGACAGGAAGAGGCGGGAGGCGGGAGGCGGGAGAAGGGACGCGACCACATTGCTCTATTCAAAACGAATACCCAACCAAGGAGGGTTGGGAAAAATAATTTGTCCAAAGGGGTTGCAATAGAAATCTCATTAGAAACATGGGGGCTGGAGGAAGAGAAGGAGGAGGAGGAGGAGGAGGAGGAGGAGGAGGAAGAGGAGGAGGAGGACACGGAGGAGGACGCGCTCACAGACAAGGCTCCCGCCTTGGACTTCCTCCATACTCAGGCCTTGGGGGTACTCTGCGAGGGTCACTGCGAGGGTCACAAGTTCTCCTTAGCTTTTCCTTAGTTGTCCTTAGCTGTTCCATAGCTTTTCCTTAGTTTTCCTCAGCTTTTCTTAAGTGTTCCTTAGTTGTCCTTAGCTTTTCCATAGCTTTTCAATAGTTTTCCTTAGCTTGTCATTAGTTGTCCTTAGCTTTTCTCAGCTTTTCCTTAGCTGTTCTTCGCTTTTCTCAGCTTTTCTTGATCTTTTCCTGAGCTTTTCTCAGCTTGTTCTTAGCTTGTCTTAGCCTTTCCTTAGCTTTCCTCAGCTTTTCTCAGCTTTTTCTTAGCTTTTCTAAGCTTTTCCTGAGCTTTTCTCAGTTTTTCCTTATTCGTATTCGTAATCTTATTTTCATTACAATTCTAATTGGGATGCCACCCGAGGCGGGGCGCTGGAATTATTTATTTTGCTTCCATGTGCGCGGTGCTAATAATATCGCTCGGCGAAAACCCCCCCAAATAATTATTTAATTACGGCGCGGTGCTAATGATAACGCCGGGGGGGTCCTTAATTACTTCTCCGGGTTAAGTGTTCTGAGTGTTTTTTGTTTTGTTTTAACCCAGATTTCAACCCAGACTAGCCAGCACGTGCAGTCGGAACGCTCTCCTGCATGGTCGCTGCGGCGTCGGCGCGTCGCTCAGCGCGCCACTTCCGTGGGGAGGGGGGGGGGAGGTGTGGTGGGTCGTGCTGCTGCTGGAGGAGGACGCCGACTTCGGGCTAGCTGGAGGCTTTGCTATCGAGCGAACCTCTGGCCAACAAGGGATCTGGAGTGTGCAGCAGCACATCGCGTTGAGCATCGTGGGCGCCGAGGAGTTGCGCCTTTAGGCGAACCCAGCGAGAGGGGGGCTGGGGGCGTGGGCGGGTGGTGGTGGGATGTGGTGGTGGGGCTTCGGGGGGAAGGACCCCTCTGTCCTCAACGGTTGTTGAGGGTCAAGTCATGTCAGGGGCGATCTCGGTTGGCCACGCTGCACTACCATCGCGGCATGTTGGGCGACCGCTGCAGCTCGGTGTCGTCAGGTGCAGGCGCGGGCGAGTCGCAGCCGCCCTTGCCCAAACATACAATCCTGCCGCCGCGCTGCTCAATCGCAGCTCGGCTGATACACGGCCCCAGTCTGCTCCGTCGCCTCGGCGCGTCCGTCCAATGTTTCTCCAAGTAGGCTTGCCCCATCGGAATCCTGCTCAAACCCTACTAACTGGTCCGTTGCCACCCCCCTAATTCCTGTGCCCCCTCCCCCTGATTCCTGTTGCTATTCCTGTGCCTATGCCTATGCCTCCCCCGAACTCCTATGCCCACGCCCATGCCTATACGCCTGCTTGCTTGCCTGCTTGCTTGCCTGCGCGCTTGCTTGCACGCTTGCTCGCTTGCGGAGTGCCGGATTCCAAACCTGCTGGATTCCTCCGATTCTTTGATTTGAGTCGTATAGTCTATTTCGGGGGTGGACAGAACCCCCAACAGCGACACGTCGATTAGTGAATTGTCCGTTTTCGGTTCTCGAGAGGGCGCCGTGGCCGTTATTTTCCAGGCTTGCGCCCGCCAGGTTTGGGCCTCGGGTCGCTTTCACTGAACCGCGTTTTGCTGAAGGGAGGTCCGTCCATCCCCGATTGATTCCTCCGATTCCTTGATTTGAGTCGTCCAGTCTATTTGGGGGCAGCGCTGGCCCCCGCGGGCCTCGCGCGCAGGGTGGGGCCGCGCACGCGCTTCCTCGGGAATGGGCGGACGGGGGGCGGGCAGGGCCGCCCGCGGTCGGAGGAGAGGGGACGGAGGACGGCGCGCGCGGCGGAATTAGGAGGAGGAGGAGGGAGGAGGACGAGGAGGAGGAGCAGGAGGAGGAGGAGGAGGAGGAGGAGAACGGATGAGGAGGAGGAGGGGGGATGGGGAGAGGGGCGACCCGTTGCTGGCGCAGGGGCGAAGCCAGCTTGCGGGAGGCTGCCGTCTTTTCAGCGCCCCGAATCATCAGGGGTAAATCGGGTCAGGGCTAACTCGGGTTCGTTTTTCGGGATTCCGAGCCAGAGTTATCCCGGACCCGAGTTATCCCGGATATTTCGGTCGTCCGGGGCCCCGAATCATCAGGGGTAACTCTTGTCAGGGTTATTTCGGGTTCGTTTTTCGGGAACCCAAGCCCGAGTAACCCTGGGCCCGAGCTACCCCGGACAGCTCGGGCGTCAAGTCTTTCTCCCCGTGAGCGTTTGCAGATGCGAGTTGCTGCTGGCACCTTCTATGGATCGGCCCCGGGCAGCGGCCGAGCAGCGCGCGGGGCCCGTCTCGGCCTGACAGGAGGAAGGGGGCGAGGCGGAGGACGACGTCCGCAGGGCGACGGATGAGGTCTTGTGAGGAGGCCAGTCGGTCTCGCCGTGGTAGCGGCACGACCATTGGTCAGGCTGCCAGCTCGCTGGCAGCAGTCTTGCACTGAGTCGGACGTGATCGAAGAAGTGCAAGCGTTGCTTCCGGTCTCGACCCATCCGCCCGAGTCTTGTCTCGCATCTTCTGCGAAATCCCCTCCTCGAATGACCAGCCCCAGCTAAAGGCCGCTGGGATGGGCAGTCACCGTGCAGCACTTCCTTCACCGCTTCTATCGCGCTGGGATTTTTCGACATCGTGAGCTGTAATCACGTCGGTGGGGGGGGAGAGTTGGTTGAGAGAGGAGGACGTGGCGGGATGGGGGGTGCTGTTTCGTTGGCAGTTCTCGACGTTCCGTGGAGCCCTCCCGAATGCTGTGGACAAGCCTTTTTCTTCATCCTACTGCGGACTCGACGCCATAGTCCGTAGTTTTGCGGATTGCCTCACATTTTTCAATCTCTTGCCATAGCCAACGAGTCAGCGGTTCCGAGGGAGGAAGAGGAAATGCCGAGGGAGGAAGAGGTGAGGGGGGGAGTGGGCTGGGGGGGGGACCAGGAGGAGGCGCCATGATATCCAGCGTCTTCGCACTCGCGCGTATGTGGCGGCGCCCCACTGTGCTCTTACGACGTGGCTGCAGTGTTGCGCTGCGCTGCATCGGCGGCGCCGACGGCGAGCTGCTGACCTTGCATCTGCAGCTTTCACGTCCGTTCTCGCCCCCTTTGCTCGACGCTCACCGTCGTCCCGCTCCTCCATGGCTCCCCTCCTCTCCTCTGCGCTCCCTCCCGTGCACGTGGGCGGGAGCCGGCCCGGGCGTGCTGGGCGCGCCGCTCGCCGCGCGCCACGTTCGCGCGCGGCGGCACTGCGGCGCCTCCTCCTCCTCCTCCTCCTCCTCCTCCTCCTCCTCCTCCTCCTCGACGTCCTCCTCCTCCTCCTCCTCGACGTCCTCCTCCTCCTCCTCCTCCTCCTCCTCCTCCTCGACGTCCTCCTCCTCCTCCTCCTCCTCCTCCTCCTCCTCCTCCTCCTCCTCGACGTCCTCCTCCTCCTCCTCCTCCTCGTCGGCGTCCTCCTCCTCCTCCTCCTCCTCCTCCTCCGCCGCCTGTGCGAGCGGCTCCAGACTGTCTCTTGGCCGGGCGTCCTCTCTGGTGCGCGCCGCGCTCCGCGCTCGGGGTGCGGCGCGGGCGGCCGTTTTCCGCCTGTGCCTGCGCCGGGCAGCACAGTTCCGAGGCCCGAAAACCATCACTTCGCTAATTTTGGGCCCCAGATTGGTGAAGTGTTGTTTTTTCCCACGTAAGGACCCCGAAATTCATCACTTCACTAAACCGAACCCAGGACGAAAGTCAGGGGCCGAATTGCTGCTGTGATGCCACATCCGCCTCGTAACAGTCGAGGCGCTGAAGAAGGAACCCTTCTCGTTGTGGAGGGGCTCGGTGTTCCTCGATTGTTTCACAGCTTGCCTCAGGTTTTCCTCATGTTTTCGATGGGACATCGAAGTTTCACTTGTGGGAAAGAGTGGCCTCGTTCCTTATTTAGGGTTCCTCAGAGCAGGTATCCTGCACGATTTTTGTTCGTAGTCTTTCTCCCCCGACGCACGGGGTCCGATCCGCGCGATGTTTTTTTCAGCTCATGACGGTCGTGCAGCCGCTGACAAGAAACAAACGGCTCCGATATGACCTTCCGAGGAACGGCATGAACTACAGTTCCACCCCAGTATTCCCCACTCATGGCATCTTCTCTTCCTTGTACTCCTCCATGCAGGGCCGCGCTTATTCAGAGCGCCGAGGTGCTAAGCAGCAGAACGTTGCTTAGGCAGGCCCGTGCTAACAGGACGAAGCCCAAAAAGGTAGCAACCTGGGTTCAGAATGTGCCAAAATTATTATTGACCAGGGTTCATAATGATCCCCTGGGAACATTATGAACCTGGGTTTGAATGTTCCGAGACATCTTGACTGGGGTTCATAATGATCCCCCGGAAAATTATGAACCTTGGTCTGGCTGGTTCCCTTCGTTCATCAGGCCTTCCGCGGACAAGAAAAGCAAACAATTCAAAAACAAGAAAAGCAAGACAAGCAAACAATACAAATATATGGCAGGGAATATTGCACATAAATGGTGGAGATGTGATACTTATCATAAAATATCTGAGTATTTCCTAACTGTTGTGGGTTATTTAGGTCATAATTATGAACTGATCTTGGTATTTCGTAGCGTTGTGAATTAATTGTTTCGAATACTGTTAATTCGGGTAGTCGTAGCAGTAGTAGAAATAATCGTATAGCGTGTAGTATATTCACACACATAGGTGTGCATTGTATACATGTATGCATACACACAGACATGCATACATACATACATACATACATACATGCATGCATGCATGCATGCATGCATGCATACATCCTTCCACACACATGCATACATAACGAGGTCCCCTGGCCGCGCCCAAGGACCACGGCGGCGCATGGGAGGACCAGGGGCCCCAGACGGCTTCGAGACGGCCCCAGAACGCCCCCAAGTAAGTTCAAGAGACCCCCGAGACGCCCAAACATTGGTCCAAGACGCCCAAGATGATCCCTAGACAGCCCAAGCGGCTTCCAAGACGCCCCAGGAGGCTTCCAAGAGGCTTCCCAAGAGGGCCCCAAGAGGCAAAATACATAGATTCGTCCGTGGGTTTGGGAGTTTTTCTGGGTTCTCACCATTTCGGCTGTCCGGCGCTCCAAGACGGCCCAAGAGGCCCCCACCATCGCCCCAAGACGGCTCAATGGGCCCCCGAGACGGCCCCAAGATGGCACCAGAGAGCCCCAAGACGGCCCAAGAGGCCTCCAAGACGGCCCAGAAGGGCCCCAGGACAGCCTCAAGAAGGAGCCCAGAGGGGGTACCCGAACGGACATTTCAAGCTCTCCGCCCCAAGAGGTCCCCAGGAGGCCACAAGATGCCCGAAGAGGCTCCCAAGAGGCCCTCACTAAGCCCCACAAAGCTCCCAAGAGCCCCTTCCCCAGACGCTCTGAGGCACTCCTGGCGATCCCGAAGCTTCCAGAGAGGAGAGGCGAATACTGGCCTCCCTCACGCGCTCTGGGGCTGTCTTCGAGCTCAAGGTGCCCCCATCAAGGCCCAACAGGTCCCAGAAACGCCCGAGGATCGCTTCCCTGGGGTCCCATAAGACCCTCCAAAAGTAATTGACCAGGGTACGCACCCAACCCGTTGTACACATGAGGCGACTATACCGAGGACCGCTCATTTCAAACTTACGCCTTGAAGGATTCGCAGTATCCTTGAACGCTTCGTCAAAGAACGTCGGGCCGCAGACAAACGTTCCCCATGACTCGTGCGTCTCAGATCGTCGGCAAGAACGCGACCACGATCTCAAAGGAGCGATGACGAGGGGGCCACGAACGTAGCGACAGTTTGGCAGTTCGCAGCCCCCAGGGACGGCGACGTCTCATTCTGATTTGCGTATGACACCACCCCGCTGGGCCTCCCAAGAGCCCCCGGACGTGGCAACAGTTTCGCTGTTCGCAGCCCCCAGTGACGGCGACGCCTCTTTCTGATCTGCGGATCATGTCACTCCGCTGGACGCGCCAGCAGCCCACGAACGTGGCGACAGTTTTGCACATCGCAGCCCCCAGGGCCGGCGAGGTCTCATTCTGATTCGCGTATCACGCATCACGCCACCCCGCTGGATCCGCCAGCAACCACCGAAAGTGGCGACCGTCTCGCTGCTCGCAGCCTCCACGGACAGCGAGGTCTCATTATGATATGTCGCAGGAGCCAATGGAATCGGGAACAGTTTCGCAGCTCGCAGCTCGCAGCCCCCAATGGCGGCCAGGCTTCATTCTGATTCGCGTAACACGTGACGCCGCTGGGCCCCCAGGAGCCCACGAAGGTGACGACAGTTCCGCTGTTCGCAGCCCCCAGGGACGGCGAGGTCTCATTCTGATCCGCGGAGATCGTCACGCCGCTGGGCCCGCCAGAAGCCCACGAAAGCACCTGCAGTATCGTGGCTCGCAAGCCTCAGGGGCGGCGAGGTCTCATTCTGATCCGCGTAGGACGTCACGCCGCTGGGCCACCCAGAAGCCAAAGAGAACGGCGACAGTTTCGGATTTCGCAGCCCCCCGGGGACGCCAAGGTCTCATTATGATAATTATGCGGGTGACGTCACTCCGCTGGACCTCCCAGGAGCTCCCAAACGTGACGTCAGCTTCGCAGTTCACAGCCCGCAGGGACGGCGAGGTCTCGTTCTGATCTGCGTGTGGCACCACTCCGCTGGACCTCCCAGGAGCCCCTGAAAGCGGCGACAGTTTCGCAGCTGCAGGCCCCAGTCCCAGCGAGGCCTCAGTGTAATCCGCGTCGGACGTCACGCCGCTGGGCCACTCAGAAGCTCACGAGAGTAGCGACCGATTCGCATTTCGCAGTCCCCAGGGACAGCGAGGACTCATTCTGATCTGCGTATGACGTCACTCCGCTGGACCTCCCAGAGGCACACGAACGTGGCGACAGTTTCGCCGTTCGCGGCCCCTTCAGGGACGGCGAGACCTCATTCTGATCTGGGCGTGGCATCATTCCGCTGGGTTTCCAGGAGCCCACGAAAGTGGCGACAGCTGGCGAGGCCTCATGACGATATGCGAATGGCACCACTCCGCTGGACCCACCGGGGGCCCACGAAAATGGCGACGGTTTCGCAATTCGCGGCCCCCCAGGGACGGCGAGGCCTCATGCTGATCTGCGTGTGGCACCATTTTGCTGGGCCTCCGAGGAGCCACCGAAACCAGCGACAGTTTTGCAGTTCGCAGCCACCGGGGGCGGGGACGTTTCTGTCTGGCCTGCATCTGACACCACTCCGCTGGGCCTCCCAAGAGACCCCGGTGGCAACGGTTTCGCTGTTCGAAGCCCTCAGGGACGGCGACGCCTCTTTCTGAGCTGCCGATCATGTCACTCCGCTGGACCCGCCAGCAGTCCACGAAGGTGGCGATAGTTTTGCACTTCGCAGCCCCCCAGGGCCGGCGAGGCCTCATTATTCTGGTTCGCGTATCGCGCCACCCCGCTGGACTCCCCAGGGCCCACGAGCGTGGCGACAGTTTCGCAGTTCACGGCCCTCAGGGACGGCCAGGCTTCATTCGAATTCGCGTATGAAGTCACTCCGTTGGGTTTCCCCGGAGTCCACGAAAGTAGCGACATTTTCGCAGTTCGCGGCCCCCAGGAACGGCGAGGCCTCATTCTTTTTGTCTGCGTATGAGACCACTTAGTTGGGCTTCCCAGGAGCCCACGAACGTGGCGACAGTTTCGCTGGGCCCTCTTGGCCTGTCGTGGCCCGTTTGGGAGCGGGCCGGGGCAGTCTCGGGAGCCCTGGGACCCCCCAAAATCTCTCGGGGGGCCCCCATGGGGCGAGGACCCCAAGACGGCCCAACAGGGCCCCAAGCTAGAGAATTTTGCATAGAGGCTGCAACTAGCCTCCTGGGCCCGCGGGCTCGCGAGGGCCAGGGCTGCGCCGCGTACCCAGAGGGTCCCGCAAGGGTCCTGCAGGAGGGCCCGATAATTAAATTCCCTGATACATTAAAAAGAAAAATAGGGAGGGTCCCGCAAGGGTCCCGCAGCATATATCTCAAGCAATTATTTGCAATAAATGCAGCACAGGGTCCCGCAAGGGTCCCGCAGGAGGGCCCGATGATTAAATTCCATGTTACTCTTTGAAAAACAATAAATAGGGATGGTCCCGCAAGGGTCCCGCATGTATATATATATATATATATACATATATATATATATATATGTGCAGATAGATGCAGATATAGTTGTATACATTTGTATATATTCGGATATATTTGGATATATTTGGATATTCACGATGGTTTCGGGAAGACCCCCGCCCGCTGGAAATAGCCATCGCGGGGTCCCAGGGGCCCTCATCGAGCCCCCACGGGCCCATTTTGGCCCTCGCAGGCCTCCTCGGCGGGGGCCCCCATGGGCATCCTCTCTTCTTGCTCCTTGGAGGGCGTTTGGCTTTAAATTGGGCCCGCAAGGGGCCCCGAAGACGCCCAATATGGCCTCAAGACGGCCGACGACGCCGCCAAACCGCCCCAAGAGGGCCTCAAGAGGCTCCCCCAAAGGGCCCCAGAAGCCAAAATTCATAAATGTTCCGTTGGTTTTTAAAGGATTTGTGCAGTCCCGCATGTTCCGCTTCCCCACGGGGATCGCTCCAAGACGGCCGAAAAGGCTCCCAAAAGGACCCGAGACGGCCCAGGAGGCTCCCCAGACAACCCAAGAGGGCCCCAAGAGCGCCCCAAGAATGCCCCAAGAGCGACCCAAGAGGGCCCCAAGAACGCGACATTTCAAGGTCTCTGGCGCGCGCGCGCCTTAGAGGCCCCCAGGAAGGCCCTGGAGGCCATCAAGAGGCTCCCAAGAAGCCCCGTGAGGCTCCCAAGAGGCTCCCGGAAGCCCCAATAGGCCCCGAAGGAGCCCCAAGGGAAGGCCCCAGCGGGCCTCCAAGACCCCCCAGTAAATCAGGTTCCCAGAAAGCTTTCTGGGAACATGATTCCTTCGGCTTCCGCCCACCGCCCCAACCATGTTCCCAAACGGCCTGCCAGGAAGGCCTCCAGGGGCCCCCAGGTAAGCCCCCAGCCAACATATGGTCGCCCCATCCATGTTCCTCGAATACCTGCCGGGAAGGCCCCAGTGGGTCCCAGATACGCACCCTGAGGCCCCCAAGACAGCCCAACAAATCATGTTCCCGGAAAGCTTCCCGGGAACATGATTTATCGAGTCGCCGCCCTCCGCCCAAATTATGTTCCCTCGCTTGCCAGGAAAACCCTCCGAGAGTCCCAAGCAGCGCTAGCTGCCGCCACGCTCGGAAAATGCGTGAGGCCCCGAAGCCCCCGGAGGCCCCCAAAGACACCCCAACAAATCATGTTTCCAGGAAGCCTCCCGGAAACATCATTCCTCAGGCTTCCGCCCCCGGCCCCAACCATGAGTCCCAAAATGCCTGCCGGGCAGCCCCCCAATGGGCCCTCATATACGCGCCCAGAGGCCCCCCAAGACAGCCCGACAAATCATGTTCCCAGAAAGCTTGCCGGGAGCATGATTCCTCAGGCTTCCGCTCCCCGCCCACACCATCTGTCCCCAAAATGCCTGCCAAGCAGGAACCGAATGGGCCCTCAGGTCTGTTCCTAGAGGCCCCACAATATAGCCTGACAAATCATGTTCCCAGCAAGCTTTCCCGGAACATGATTGCGCTAGCCGCCGCCCCCCGCCCAAATCATGATTCCTAAACGCCTACCAGGAACCACCCTCAGAGAGTCCCACGCACCGCTACCTGCCGCCACGCTCGGAAACGCCTCTGCGGCGGCCCATGCGATGTTGATGCGGCTGCTGCTACTGCTGATGATGACGACGACGATGATGATGATGATGATGATGATGATGATGATGATGATGATGATGATGATGATGATGATGAATATGATGGTGATGATGATGGTGATGATGATGGTGATGGTGTTGGTGATGGTGATGGTAATGGTGATGGTGATGGTTTTGATGATGCTGACGACGATGACGACGACCACGATGATGATGAGGATGATGATGATGATGATGATGATGATGATGATGATGATGATGATGATGATGATGATGATGATGATGTTGACGAGAATGATAGTGCTGATGATGATGCTGCTGATGATGATGATGATGATGATGATGGTGATGATGATGATGGTGCTGCTGATGATGACGATAATGCTGATGCTGATGCTCATGCTGATTATGCTGCTGATGATGCTGCTGCTGCTGATGATGATGATGACGACGACAATGACGATGACGATGACGATGACGATGATGAGGATGAGCCCCCCAGGAAGTCCCAGGAGGTCCCCAAGGGTCCCCCAAGGGAAGTCATCAGATGTCCCCCGAGACATCCCAACATCATTTCCCCAGAAAGCTTTTCGGGAACAGGATTTCTTATGCTTCCACCCCCCAGACCACCGGGAGGACGAGGACGAAGACGAGGGCGAGGTCGAGGAACAGGAGGGCAAGGAGTAGGAGGATGAGGAGGAGGCGGAGGAGGAGGAGGCGCTGCCCGCCGCGCACGCCGCGGCGCTCCCCAAGGGAGACAGGCGGAGAGACGGAATCGGACGGGAGGGAGGAAGAGGGAGAGGAGGAGGGGGGGAGGAGGAGGAGGAGGAGGAGGATGAGGAGGGGAGGAGGAGGAGGAGGAGGAGGAGGAGGAGGAGGAGGAGGAGGAGGAGGAGGAGAAGAAGCAGGAGCAGGAACGGGAGGGTCAGGAGGAGCACGAGGAGGAGGAGAAGGAGGAGGACGACGAATAGGAGGCGAATGCCCGGACGGGGACAACGGGTTGACATGGGGGGTCGGGGCCACCCCAGAGGCTCCGAGCGCGCCCGATCGGCTCCAGACGCCCTCCAGACCAGCCCAAGACAGCCCAAGAATGCATTTGGGGCGCCCTGCGCAGGTTCCAATCCGCGCGAAGACGGCCCAAGGTTCGAGAAGCCTCCCCGACGCCCCGAGAGGACCCCCTAGGAAGGAGCTCGTGTTCGAGTGTTTTATATGTTGATGCGTTCTTGGTGTTCCTGGCTCCCAGCTGCCCAAGACAGGAAAAGAAGCCGTCAAGATCACCCCATGACGATTCAAGAAGCCCCCAAGAGAACCCCAACACGGCCCAAAACAACTTCGAGACGGACGGCTCAAGAGACCCCCAAGAGAGTACAAGACGGCCCCAGGAGACCCCCAAGAAATGCCCCAAGGACAACGACACCGCCAGACAACCCCCAAAAGGCTCCCAAGAGGCGCCCCAGACCCCCCCCAGATGGTTCCCAAGGGCCCTCCGGTGCGTCCCATGGCGCTCTCAGGCGGCCCCGCGACCGCCCTGGACCCCGAGGCACCCCCCAGGAGGCTCCGCGCACCCGCGAGAGAAAGGCGGTGTACGCCTGGGATACCTGTCCCACCGTATCCTGGGATGCTTGCGATGCCTGCGGACACCATTGTCGGAGTCGACTAGAACCTAAGCGCGCGAAGCGCGCGTGGTTCTAGTACGTGCGTATATGTCTTTATGTGTGCACTGTGCACTCATATATATATATATGTGTATATATGTAGTTTATGTACATGTGTGGATACTTGTTGATTACTACGATTACTATTACTCACATATGTATAATTTCACTACGACTACGACTACTACTACTACTACTACTACTACTACTACTACTACTACTACTACTACTACTACTACTACTACTACTACTACTACTACTTACTACTACTACTACTACTACTACTACTACTACTACTACTACTACTACTACGACTACTACGACTACTACTACTACTACTACTACTACTACTACTACTACTACTACTACTACTACTACTACTACTACTACTACTACTACTACTACGACTGTCACTATCACTCGTATGTGTAATATTAGTGCTCTCACGCTTAATGTTCTTATATTACAGTATCCCAAACACTTAAGTCAAACTGTTATTACTATATTTCATATATTCATAATTATCACGCGTATTTCCATAATATTCACGAATGAATCATAAAACGCAGAAGATGTATACCATTTATTCGTAATCTTACATGACATATTTGTTTGTCTTGCTTTTCTTGCTTTTCTTGTTTTGGCTTTTTCGGCGAGCCGAGCCTGATGAACGAAGGGAACCCGCCAGACCTTGGTTTATACTGATCCGGGAATATTGGCTCCAAAATGATATTCATTTGGGTTCATAATGTTCTGGAAGTATTGACTGGGGTTCATAATGCCTCGGGAATAATGAACACAGGTCTACATTTCTGGAATGATACTAATGGAGGTTGAGGGGCGTCGCCTGAGCCATGGGTGGATATTCTGAATCCAGATTCATGATCCCGGAATAATTCTAATTATTGCGAAGGCCTTACGGCCGGTGCCGCCGACCCTGTTCCCAATGAGCAGCAAGAGACATGGTATGGGTGTGTGCGGGAGGGGGGTATGGGGGGAGAAGGAGGAGAAGGTGGGGGAGGGAGGAATACTTGTGCTGCTGATGGCGTTGTTGGTGCCATTGGTGTTGGCGGTGCTGTCGTTCTTGGTGCTGCTGCTGGTGCGGCTGCTGGTGTTGGTGCTTCTCGTGCTGCTGGTGTTGCTGCTGGTGTTGCTGATTTTGCATCTAGTTCGGTCGCTCCGGGTGCCGCCGATCCGTGGCGCTCGGGTGCCTGTGGAAATGGACGACGACGACGAAGACGACAACGAAGACGAAAACGAAGACGACGACGACGATGACGACGACGACGACGACGACGACGACGACGGGCGACGACGTGCCTGCGCGTCGACAAAGCCTTCGGAAGCGGGGGCCGTGTCGAAGTCTTGCCAGACAGCACTTGGCATTCTACCACGCCTCAACGTTCCAGAGGGCACGTTGGCGGAAAACCATGGAATAATGTACGTTATGTGTTTGAGATGGGAGGCGGAGGAGGAGGAGGAGGGGAGGAGGATGAGGAGAAGGAGAGGAGAAAGGGTCAGGAGGAGGGAAGCAGCAGCATGCGTTGAATGTGGAAGAGGTGGAGAAGGTGGAGGAGGAGGAGGAACAGGAGGGTGAGACGATGGAGGTGGAGGAGGAGGAGGAGGAGGAGGAGGAGGAGGAGGAGGAGGAGGAAGTGCATCCCGTGTGTGCCCGCTCGAGGAAAGTGCGCCCGGGGAGGCGTCGTATTTGACCCGCTGCCCCCCGAAGAGGCTCCAAAGACTCCCCAAGAGGCTCCCACAAGGACCTCCAAGAGAGAAGCACAATCGCTTTATCAATTGCAAACATGCATTCATAGTATGTTCGCTTCTTCATTAGCTTCAACAGCGCCCACGACGGCCCAACAGGCCTTCAAGACCGCCCCAATACGGCCGACGAGGCTCTGAAGATTCCCTAAGACGGCTCGAAAAAAGCTCCGAGAGAAGTCCGATGCGGCCCAAGAGGCCCGCCACAGGGTCCTGAAAGCTTCCGGAAAGAGCGTCGATAAGATCACATGAGGTTTCCAAGAGAGCCCCGGAGAGCCCCCAGAGAGCCCTAAGATGGCAAGGGCCCCCAAGCAGGCAAAAGACTGTCCAAGGACGGTCCAAGAACGCCCCAAGACAGTTCAAGAGAGCTTCCGTAGTCATTTTGGCTCCAGGCTCCCGAGGCGAGGCCGTCGCGCGCCCGCTTGCCCGCTGCCGGCGCGCTCCGCACGCGTCCGCTTGCGGCCGGCCGGAGGCTCCATCGTGAACTGCTTTGAGACCCGACCGCCCAGGCCGTCGCTCTTCGGCCACCGCTCGACGCGCCATGTCTGGCGCCCTGCGCGGTGTCGCTGCGAGCACCTTCGACCAGCTTGACGAAGCCGCCGTCAGGCGCAGCCGAAGTCCAAGCGCCCGCCGTCTTCAGCGTGTCTCCAGTTTCGTTACACAGGGTATTCGTGTTTGGAGACGGACGCGCTCTCCGGCTCCATTGTCATCCACGAAGGGTACAACGTTGGTAACGACGTCCCCGGGGAGATAACTGTGATGGCGGCGGAGGTGCATACGGGCGCCTCGGCGCCCGGTCACATAAAGAACGTGCCCGTGGAGTTCGGCATCCGGAAGACCACGAATGGCAGCGGCTACGAGGCGCAGGCGGTGATGGCGTTCGGGGGATTTCCGCTCACGGCGGAATTCGTCCGAAAGGCGAATGAGGCAGAGCGAGTTCGCCGCAAGCAAGTGCGGCGGCGGCGGGCTGCCGCGCTTCGGCGCCAGGAGGCCGCGGCGCAGCGTGTGGCCGCCAGCGGTGGCGGCGGAGGCCCGCGGCCGCCGGCGACGGTTCCTCCGCGGAGCGCACTCGTGGCGTACCAAGAGGAGGTCCGGCAAGCGGGAGCTGGGAGATATGTAATCGAGGCCTACCAGGACAGCGACAGCGACGACGACGACGCGAACAGTTCCGATTTCCCTGACGAAGGCACCGTCAGCTACGACTACGGGCACCGCTGGCGCCGCAGCTGCCGTGACTGGGACCACGGCAAGAGAGACTTCGCGTGGGGCTGCGGCTGGCGCAGGCGGCACGACGAGGCCACCGAGACGGCCCACGTCGCGCCCGACGTCCACGGCCGCTCCCTCGCTTGGAGCGACGAGTACGGGCATTGGCGGGATCGCAGCTGGCGCGACTGGGACCACGGCCAGAGCGACTCCGAGTGGGACCGCGGTTGGCACAGGCGGCACGACGAGGCTACCGAGACGGCTCACGTCGCGCCCGACGTCCACGGCCGCTCCCTCGCTTGGAGCCACGACTACGGGCACCGGTGGGATCGCAGCTGGCGCGACTGGGACCACGGCCAGAGAGACTCCGAGTGGGACTGCGGTTGGCACAGGCGGCACGACGTGGCCACCAAGACGGTCCACGACGCGCTCGATGTCCACGGCCGCTCTCTCGCTTGGAAGTGAAGACATGGGTGCACGACGCCCAGAGAGGTCGTTGGTGCTCGGGACCGATGGACAGGTGTTCCCTATGTGAAGATCTGGGTGCACGACGCCCAGAGAGTCTTCCAGGTGCACAGGACCGACGGGTGACCGAGGCTGACCGGACCTGCGGCCACTCGTTTCTCTGTCGTCGTCGTTCTCTGTTGAATGAATTGGTTTAAAACGCCCTTATCTTAAACATGGATGAGTCCAAATTGTTGGCGAAACCGTCGGATCTTAAACATGTGCAGTTCGCTTGAGACATCGCCAAAAGCATGAGATGGTGAAGTGGCTGTTCTACGACATATTTGGGGGGCGCCCTCGGAGGATTCCCCCCATGGCCCAAGAGGCACTCAGTCAAGACTGAGACGTATTGTCTTAAACCCATTGTTAGGCAAACGAAAAATCCAGAGGTCTCGGTCATGCCGAAATAGTGCGTGAAACATATCGTCCGGGAAACCGGTAGAGGGGCCCTGCGGAAAGGCCGTTTACAATCGGATTGTCAAAAACACATATGAGAACCAAACTCCCGGGAATTCTGTGTCTAAATCAACAGTACGCGAGGGGGTGCCGGCTAAC